GCTGGGTGGGGGTGCTGCCTGTGCCAGCCTGCCTGATGCCCGGGGGCCCCGGGGAGCGGGCACCGGCACAGCGCGGGTCGGTGTGTCCTGGCTGTGGAGCCACCGCAGGTTCCTCCACAGCTGGGTGCAAGGGATGGAGGCGAGGATTAACCGGGAGAGAAAGGCAAAGGATTTGAAACGCCTCCCTTTCCCCACGAGCAGCCCTGCCTGTGGCACCCACCTACCCTGAAGGTGCCAGTGATGATGGGCATGGGAAGCGCTGTGCCCCTCCGTGACCTGCAGCAAGGAGACACGCCACCGTGACGTGGCTGCACAGACAGGGGCGACGGTTCCCAGCTCCTGCAGCCACCCAGGGATGTGCTGATCCCCCAGAACTCAAGGCAGCATAAACACAATTTTTCCTGCAAACATGTAGGGACTGCAAATGTCCGAAACCTCCGGCAGCGCTGCTCAAACGGGCGCCCCGGCCGGCCATCTGCTCCCCACACACCGGGGATATCCTGCCTGGTTCACTGGCCCAGCCCCAGGGCACAGGCTGGTGCCTTGGCCACCCTGTGGGGCTGTGCAGAGCCCTCCTCTCCCCAGGCCTAAGCTCTGATGGAGACTGGCTTTCTGTCCGCCTGACAGGCTGCCCTCCCACCCACCCCCCAAAATGGTGGCACACCACAACCAACATGATGTTCATCTCTTCTCAGGAGCCATCCTGCATCAGCGGGCCTTGGTAGCGCAAAGAGTAGCGAGATCTCCTTGTGGCAAAGCTACTTGTAGGTCATGTGTCCCCAGCTCTGCCACATTCTGGTGGGTCTCATGCTACACGAGGCAGTGATCGTACGTGACAGCTCCTAGTTGCTGAGAAGGGGATGAGCAGCAAGCCCCCAAACCTCACATCCTGCAGTAGGCCTGCAATCTTGTAGCTTGGTGAAGCCAGCCTTACCTTCAGGATGAGATGGATTTGGAAATGGCACCTTTTCCTGGGCTGCAGCAACGTCCTGAGCAGGAGCAGGGGACCGGAGCACTCATTGCTAGCTGGATTGAGGCAGTAAGTGAGTCTAGGAGAATGTGAGGAGGCTACTTCTCCTCGAATTATGTATTTTACATTTATAGATAGCACATAAAGCCTTAGGAGCAAACAAGCAGCCAGCAGGATAAAACAAATGCATGACAAAGACTGAAGCTGGCTGAAACAGCTGCTGTTTGGGAGCCACAGGCAACCATCTCAAGCACGAGTGGGTTGAGAAGCACAAAGTCTAGAGTGGGGCAATGCAGGGGCATAGCCTATTCCCACCACACTGCCACCGTGGAACACAGATACGGATCTGACTCAAAGGCTTGCTGCTCTGGAGCTCAATCAGGGCTGCAGTGGTGAGCCTGCTCTTGCAAGGTGGAAGCAAATGCCATGATTAAAGCGTTCAAGAGCCAGGTTTGACCATAAACTTGTGGTCAAGCACAAGAGGGAAGAGGTACTTGAACTCACCTCTTGCCACGTCTGGAATACTGGCAGCACCTTTCCTCTACTCCACCTAGCTACCTCTCAACCCAGACTCTTCTGCCTTCTCCCCTTTCCAGAGGGGAGGAAGGCTGGTTCCGTGTTGCCCTTTTGCAATTATCTAAACCACTAACTTCTGGCTGACTCCTCATGCTCAGTTTGATCCTGGTTTCCTGCCACTGCCCTCTGACTCCTTAGAAGCTTGTTCACATCTCACATAGAACGCCATTCCTACCTCCCCTCCCAGCATCACAGGCTGGACATCTGGGGCAGGTCAGAAGAGAGCCTTTAACTCCAAGGCCTCTATGCAACTGCATCTCTAGCCCCTCTGTGTCCTCTTCTTCCAGGACAAGAGAGGGGCTCCAGTGTCCTACTACAGGTAGAGGCTGTGCTGTCTGGTGGCTCTGGTACAGACGCAGGGTCTCCAGCAATGTTTCAGCCATATTCATGAGCAGGGACTCCCACCCCATGGCAGGTTCTGCTGCTTCCCCAGGCACACAGTGGGCTGCCTCCCAGCTTTGCACATCAGCAGAGAAGGCATCAGCCTGCTCTTCAGTTGCCTCCATTCCTTCTTGCTTGAACAGTCACACAGGGCCACAATGCCATGGGACGCCTGAAGGGGAATTCAGTAGCACGTGGAAGCTGAAACCACTTTTGCAAACGTGGCCACCCCACACATTTAGCCTCCCAAAGCCCAGCAGTCTCCCCAGCCCTAAGAGAATTGTATCATTGGAATGCCACATAAGACACTTAAAATATTTTCTCAACGGCCATGTCTGGCCACAACCGACAGCAAGCAAAAACCCAGAAGGGCTTGATGGGTGCAGCTCTTGCACATTTCCCCACCAAGTCATTCCAGTTTCCACTACAAAGCACTAAAAACCAAACAGGAGCCAGATCCTTTCCCTACCCCTCTGTGGATCTGGTGTAGCCGGGAGGAGAAAAAACAAGCACTTGAAGTCCTGAGGTCAGCAGATCCCTCCCCAACACACAACAGGAAGGAGGTTGAGTAAGAGGTTGCCATTTTTTCCATTGCCATCTTTCCGATCACTAATGGCTGCAAATGGGAGAACTTCCTGAAGGGAACTGTAATAGAATGTGCAGAGTTAGCACGTTTATAAACTTGTTCCACACCCATCCCAGAGAACATGCAACCTCCCTGAAAAGAAGGCGCTGGATAAAAAAACCTTCACACTGCTGCCAGCTGCCATCACAACAGAGAAAAGATACCAAATATCATCCATGGATTCTATGTTAAGGCTGCGTTACACCTGAAGGATACATCCAACACGTCCTTGTATCCACTCACTTTCTACTGCAATTCCTTATTTTGGCCATCTCAAGTCCTTGGCTTTCAGGTACATAGTACAGGTCAGGACTCTCCCTCTAAATAGGTCAGGTTTTAGCTTTTATACACAAATTGCTATGGCTCTGGAAGATATAGCCTGAGAAAAATGACTAACTGACACAATTTCTTCCTTCTGCAAAAACATATGGATATATTTCCTAATCCTCTATGGCAGGTTGCAGGTAGTCATCTTCTTACATACGTTTCAAAATTGTACTGCTGAATGACGAGATGCCAACCCAGTCTTCATAGACCTTCTAGTGCCTGGAGTGGATACCTCTTCCCTCCCTCCGGTATCAGGAAACGGTCACTGAGTGTTCATGTTGATGAGAGCCCTCCCTGCAGAGTCGGACCAGAAATCCTATCTTCCCCTTTTCCTCCTGTTCAGAATTTTATTTCCTTCCTACCACCCCCCCGTCAACAATCATGCAAGATACATTTTACAAAAGCAAAGAACCAACAACCTCTGCCTTACTGCAGTTTCTAGATATGCTAAAATATTCCAGCTATACTAAAATACCAGTGATCTCATTTTCCTCCAGAGCATGCGCCTTGGGTAGAAATAGCATGGACTGTAAGCAGCCAAGGAAAGTGAACACGTCCTTTTCTGGATCAGCAGCTGTGATTGTATAGAAGATGTAAATTTCTTACCAGATGGATCTTCACCTACCAGCTGTTGAAAAAAAAACACAACAAAACAACCGCGAAACAAAACAAAACCAAAAAAAACCCAAAACAAACAAAAAACCCAACCCACCTACCATGGTTTAGGTCAAAAAATGGAAAGGAATAGAGAAAGCTGTCCTCATGGTCCAAACTTATTTCCTCTGAACTCTGCTTCTTTCCATGAAAGAAAGAAAACTAAATTCTGATTGCTTTGTGGTGGTTCTCAGCCCCAAAGTAACAAACAAAGGAAGGTTCAAGCGTATGTAGCTTAATACTAGTTGTCAGGATTTCTCCCTCTACAGAAGCGCTTAACCTAGAGTGACTATGCAAAGGCACAGGACAAGAGGACAAATGCAAAAACCTTGCAAAGTTTTTGAAATCAATTAAAATTGATTTCCAGAATATAAAAGCAGGGAACTGTATACTGTGACCAGCACACCTATTAGTTAATACATGGGAAATTCACAGCAAGAGCCTAAATCCTAAAAGGTGATCGGCTGCTTTAGTGTCTACTGACTTCAATGCAAATTGCAGGTGCAAGGCTGGCAGTTGAGGTGGACAGCAGACAGCAGGCTTCTCTAGAGAACAAAATTACTGGATCTCAGCATAGTGGAATATACGTTTTATTTCTTAAAAAGGAAGGGTACTAACAGAATTTAATACAGTCAAAATTTTACATTTTAAACAAAAGCTTTTCTTTTTTTCTTAAAAACCAGTTACGAGCAGAGAGGTGAGAGGATTTAAACTACTCACAAAATCCAAGCTGAAGACTTTGAGAATTCAAATCTGTGGTTTATACATTTAAAAAAGTGTAATAAATGGAAATATAAAATAATACCAACTCTGCAACAGTGAAATGCCCTTTCCTCATTAGATTGCTGTTTAAGCACCTTTATTTTTACCCATCAGCTGCCAGGAGCGTGTAGGTTTATGTACAAAATAAGCAGTTTGGGACAAAAGACTCATATATAAATTAAAACCATTTATGGCAATACAGTTTTACCCAGCTGCTTTACAATCTTTTTTATTATCTCTTTCATTTCTATAGAATCTTTCAGTCAGGATGATCTCAAATGCACTTGATGAACTGCTTCAAAAAGCAGCTACATTTACAGGAATTATATAGACAACCTCAAGGAGTAGATATCCAAGAGATTAAACAATTTAACACACAGTAAAATTAAGATCAGATTTATATCTTATATAAATACCATGCAGATCTATCATCCATCCCACTGAATGAATGGGACAGATCAGTGTCACATCTGAAGCCAAAAAAATACTTTTATCCAAGAGGCAACAGAATTTCAGGCCAAATATAGCAGATAGGATTTCCCTCAAACTATTTATTTAAAAACTATACGTCTCTGAAAAAGCTTCACAGGAACAGAGTTTTCTGAATAACTTGCACATATGCTTAGCTGTTTCATAGCTATTTTACAGCCTAAAGACACTGAGAGGGGAGGAAAAAAAAGAAGGAAAAAAAAAAAAGCCACCATCTCTGCCTACTACAAAAACTGTTGTGGCTTTGTCCTTTATGGAACACTGCAGCTGTTACCAGAGAGGAGACTGCTCCAGTACGGCATTAAAGACAAAGAATCGTGGCTGGAAAAAGCATCATCACAGGCTAATCTCTTTAGATGAGGCCTGATGGTTCCATCTCACCACCTCCTCAAAACACCCAAGTGTTCATATTTCTTAGCACACTGCTTATGATTCTCACTCCACGGTTTTTTGTTTGGTTTTTTTTTGTGTTTTTTTCTTTTAACACAAGATAGAAAGGGTCATGAAAGCTGATGAAAGTTCCAGCTGTGCGGTAACCAGTGAATATGTACTCAGCAAAACCTTAAGTCATTAATCACTTTCTCTCTCTCTCCACAGCACAACAGGATACCTGTGTCATCTATGTACATAACAGAACTAATAAAAGCTGTTAAGACTATCTAGGTTACAAATGAGCTTCCGTAACAGTCACTCACTGTTTCATTGCAACTTGCTGCAGTCTGGCTGAAGGGTGGAGACAGATCTGTTTGAGCCAAAAGAAAGAATAGTTTAAAAAAAAAACAACCCACCAACCAACCTTTAGTTCTAGGCTTTATGAGTAATTAAATATCACTACGTTCCAAATGCTACTCACAAACAACAGATCATCTGTCCAGCTAATGGGATGGAAGAGTACAATTATGAATGTTATCAGTGACTACTGTTAAAGACTGGAAAAGAATCAATTCCCCCAAATTCTCAGTTTCTCTGCTTAAGTAGCTCATTATTACTTTTAAAACATTTTTTGTTGATAGAAAGCATCACAACTAGACTAGAATTCCACAACATCAATCTTTGTTTTGATTTCTGTAGTTCTCTAGGAAAAAAATAACCCCAAATCAAGCTACATGAAGCATTAACAATATTCAGATATTACAATGGAAGCACTTATTTATTACTTCATAGAACAGATTAGTTTTAAAAGTGTATTTACATGTTCTAAGTTATACAAAATACAGTATTCCAATAATTCATTTTAATCACCATATTTCAGACAACTTCACATAGAAGTGCAGAGGATGCATTCATCCAGGATCCTGGCCAGTAGCAAGCGGTCACCCGCAGCGTTGACAGATGAGAGCTGCTATTGTGCCCCGTCAGGAAAACAAATCCCACCGTACCTTCTCACCGAGACATAACTGCAGATCTAAGAAAACATTCAGGCAGGTACACGAGCAAAGTTTGTTGAGACCCACAGACCAAAATCACATGCCTTAGTTTACTAGATGTATGTGAAGTACATTTTTTGTTGTTGTTTTTACAGATGTTCTACAGCAAAGGGCTTCTGCTCATGCCTTACTTGGGAAAATGAATTAACAAGGGGTTTGGCTATGTAACAGGCACCCAAATTACATTGAATATCAACAGCCTTATAACTACAACCAATGGCGTGTTAAGGACACAATTCTGCAGTTGACTGCCTGGGCAGAGCTTCACATTCAAGGACAGATCCTGTGAAGTCCACATGGTTCTCTACAGATACAGGGCCCATCCCATGCAGAAGTGACAGCAGAATCGAGGCCTTGAAATATTGGGGCCTCAGGTAGTAATTTCCTCACAACACAGCACCATCGGTTCACATGGGTAGGTCAAGTCCCAGCACAACAGTGCACTTAGTTAAAGCAACAGCTATTTTTTTCACGCCTTTCTGCAGTAACTCTCCTCCTTATCTTTATATTCCTCTCACTTTCTTCTGGACTGTGGAAATGACATAAAGAAAAGGAGATTCCCCAAACCTAAACAAGTATGTATCTTCTGTACGATGCTAAACCGAGGGGATCCAAATTGGCCTAAAATTGTCAACACTGAGGTTTCAGTTTTAGTAATCTTGCTCAGGTCAGACTTGCATTACTCTTCTCTTCCTCCTTGCATTCTGTACTCTCCTTGCCAAGTACCTATGTCTATCAATGCATGTATCTTCCTCAAAGGATTCCTTTTCTCCTATAGCTGCCTGAACTTTAAAAAGTTTGTGTTCCAGAAGTGACTCATTAGGGGATAGCATACTATCAAACTAACAAATTATATTCTGTATGGCAAATCTGCATTATGATGAATTAAATCATTGTAATTTCTCAATTAGCGTTACGTTAGCATCTCCACAGAAGTTTAGGTAAGCCTATTCTCTCTACCTTTTTCCTAGTCTCTCATTGTGAGTTTATCTATCTTGACCATGTTACAGTGGAAGATATACAGATCAGAGTAATTAGCTGATCATCTAGAAAGCCAGCCAGTGCCTTGCCGTGCTGCAAAGGCAAAACACTAGCATTAACAAATGATTTCACTGTTTATGGATTTAGACATCGGTTGCCAAAAAGATGAGATTTATGCATTAAAACAAACTTGCATTTCTCATCTTGTGCTTAGCAGCTAAAACCCTAAGGGTGAACAAAAGCCTATCTGGATTTTGCAAAGGTCCAAGATACCTCCACTCTCACTAAAAATGAAGGCATCTGATCACAAGGAAAAAAGCCACATTATGCTGAGGAGGCTTACAAGGCTGAAGAAGCAATATTATCTCCTGTACAAGTCCATTATTTCTGCTGTCTACACAAAAATATTTTTCCACACAAGTGGTTTTATTACAGTATTCCCAAAGCTGCTGGCCTTCCACTGCACCTCCCAACTTGAAATGAATTTGGTACAATTAGTAGCAGTGTTGCAAATAATTGCAAAGTGATTTCTACAGCTAGAACACCTTGGCTTTTCCAACAGGACAGTAGGGAAATGGAGAATTGTCAGAAAAGACATAAAATGTTACTAGAATCATAGATTTTTGGAAACATTTCTTGTCCCAGGAAAAAGAAAAAAAGCAGAATTCAGATTATCTGAATATCAAAACTGTCACTAACTGTGAAAATGAACAAGTGATAGGACCAGTTTACCAACATTACACCTGCAACATGTGATACATCCACCTGATCCCAGCACAGAATGCTTCAGAGAAAAGCAAAGACACCCATGACTCCAGTGCTTGCTAAAACTTTATGGTAACTATGTGAGAGTAAAGAGTTTTTCCTGTGGGAGTTAATGAGATCTTTGTTACTGGCTTCAGTGGGAGCAGATCTTGGCAAGAGGTGACAGATTAAGCTTCTAGGGAATTTTTAAATGCAAAACTGCACGATTGTAAGAGATATAACTATCTGTAGATTAGAAGACCATGTATGAAAGCAATACTGTATTAAATGTTGCGTCTGTTTCTCCTGCAGAGTAAGACAACACTCATTGCCCACAGATCTCATCAACAGTTTATGTATTTTCCAAGTTAGGACTGTGAAATGGCCATTTGGTGTCAATCCATTTTCTTATGAACATACAGCTGTGTCAGAAACTGCTCCTTTTACTGGCAATCCCCGCAGTGATGCTGAGAAGTGCACCCCCTTTACTCTCTCCCCTTGGAGATGGTCCCTTTATGGCTGGAATGGGGTACTTTGCCATCAAGCACACTTACAGCCTCTACAGAGAGGCTGTAGGTTAGAGTTAGGTTCCAAGGTTAGAGAACTTCAGACTCTAACAGTGCCATGTTCAAATTGAGCTAAAAGAATATTAGACTTCTTATGACCACTATAAAAATGTACCCAAGTTATCACTTACGGACAGGATTGTCACCCTCGTCAAAGAAACAAGATTACATAGTTAGGTTTTTTTGAGAGGAGCAGAGTGCTCTGAAGCAGTAAGCTTAACTTCCTGAGACTGCAAAAACTGAGACAGGAATTCAGCATTGCACAGAATTTTTTGTCTGGCAATACCTATGCTCCTTAAAATAGTTACCACCTTCTCATCTATCTTTGATGATGTTTCTTCTTAAGAAAAAAAATTTCTCCAACTGCAAAAGTTAAGCCACGCTCACCCTGAAGTGCGATTTTCCAGTTTTGCAACCCGTAGGCACGTGAATCACAGAATGTGCAAATTTGCACTGTCCTACAGGGAAGCACGAGAGTTTGCTAACAGTCTTCTCTGAAAGAAAGATCTAATGAACATTCACTGTTAGTTTCCATTGTGTTAGCTTTTAATACCAACGCGAAAAGCTAACAGAATTGCACCTACTATTCTCACTGACTGAATATTCTGCTGTTAAAATAGCATGACATACTGCAAAATCAAATCCTGTATACAATATTGAAGTATTTAGAAGATATGCCTAAAGCAGTAAGACAGCAAGACCCAAATGGAGGACTAGCAGCTCCTAGCCCAGCTACAATACCCTTTAGCTTTGTGATTTAAACAGGAAGCATGACTTCCAAGAACAGCCATTCAGAGCTAACTGAAAATTTAGAAATGATAAATGCAGAAAGAGCTGCTACATTTACATGCTGTCAGGGTTGTTTGTTTTGTTTGGTTTTGTTTTTTAAATCCATGGTTTTGCCTTTATCACCAAAATAAAACAAACAAAAAAAGCAGTACATACCAAAAATATCAGTCAAAAGCAGGAATACTTGATACAGATAGAGATATACACTGACATTTCAGCAACGTGTAGCTAAAGTATTCATCTATTGGAAGATAATACCCCAAGATTCTCTCAGAGCTTTAGAATCACGAATTATAATAATACACTAGTAAGTATACTTTTGTAATGAGAAAAAAAAAATGTTAAAAGCAGTTTCTTGACTTCAGAACATGGTCCATTCAAAATAATAGGTCAATAACTGCATTTAATGTATGTGGTCTTTACAAAGTTTATGCCTTAAAAAAAAAAAAAAGTGGTTATGAATTCTGAGTTCTGAGATTTTTTCTTAATTTTTTTTTTTTTTTTTTTTAAATGAACATTAGCTGCTGCTTTGCACCTTTTTCTCTTTGCCTTTCTGCTCTGAAATTAAGGGTGTAATCTCTTGGGTAAACACAGCGTCAAAATACTTGTTCAACATGATAGTGTTGAGCCTTGCTGGTAACTAGATGTGCCTCATCATTTTGGCACTTGTGCTTCTGAAAGCTTTCAAGATATTTCTTGAGGTGGATGCTGTTTATCAATCTCCAGCCATGAAGACGCTGAACATCTTTCACTCCTGTCTTACAAGCTCCATTATAACTACAAGCATGGCCCAGAATTTAGGTACTCCTTCTTCCTACACAAATTTAGCTCTTAAGCCTCCTCAATATAAGAGTAGATTCTTGTTATGCTGATGAAACTCTTACAAAGGAACTTCCACCTACTTCCTCCATCTTCTACACACAATAAACATCCCCGGAATCTGTCCAGGCTTTCAGCTACTCTCCCACACCAGCACAAGGGTCTCGATCCTTAAGCTGCCCATTGTAACTGTGGGAAATCACTGGCTGTTTCACTTTTATGAAACAGATGAACAAACTACTCTTTCGCCTCCACAGTTCTCGCGTAGTCAAGAGACAGAAAGTTGTATTATGGCAGCTAATAGCCATTGTTTTGCTGGAGCTGATAGTCATTTGGTAGTTTCAGGCTGCCAAAAGACAGGAGGATCAGCAGCTCAGACTAGCACCTTTTCCATGATTGCTAAATCGTTAACAGAAGAATAGATCTTGTTTCAGCAAGACACCATAAAAGAAAGCAAGCCTGACAAAAGAGACAAAGGAAAAGGCAGGTTACAGCAGTACAGCTGCGGAGCAGGAAAGCAACCAGAGTGCTTTTACTATCACATGGGTCATTTGATAGAGGTTTATTACTACTCTTTCTATGGCAAACTGTGGTGCCTTCTGGACTGTTCCAATACATCTGCTGTACTTTTCTGCACTGGAAGTCTCACTGCTGTTGTCCTGGTGTCTTTAATTCTGCACCCACAGTAGTCCACAAGATGCTACACTGTACCAGAAGCGAGTCGCAGTATTAAATAAAATTCATTCTACTGCAGGGAAAAAACGAGTCTTAAAACACAGCAGTTCTTAATATATACACTTTCATTTAAAACTCCCTATTTTCTTCCACTTGAGTGCCAAAACAAAGAGTCACTATTCACACAGGCTGTCAACAGACTTTGAGACATGAACTTTGAGTGTCTTGACAAAACCCCAATAAGTAAGCTTATTGTAGTTCATAGTTACAGTGAGAAAGACAGATAAGAAAGCCATATACAGAATTAAGGAGACTTTGCACTTTTCATCATGCCCAGCCCTGGGTAGTTCAGATGGGGTACTTGCAGGCAAGCAGGCAGGCAGGGTCATCGTCAGTTGTTTGTGTTGGGACACCTCATAGATTTCACTGCTCACTCTGAAGACTGGCGATTCATGTGTGCTTTTTAGTTTCTTTGTTTTTAAAAGTCTTTAAAGTTGCATCACTCGGAATCAGATAAGTCACTTTAAACAAAGCAAAGTGTTAAGTGTGACAATTTATTTATAACATACTTCCCACCATCACCACCACACACCACCCTGTGAAAGAAAAACCCCTGCTGAAAGGGTGACAATTTTTAGTATGTTTGAAAGAAATTAGACCAACGCTGCATGAAGAGCCACTCTAGTCAAATTAAGAGCATAACAGAGGGGGAGATAATTCAAAGCATATGTTTACTTTACGCATTCCAAATTAGCCTGCTTCTCCACTTTCTTAAGAAGTCAACACACAATTGGTCTAAACTCATATCAATTTTCACATTATGTTTAAAAGACAAGCTAGGCAAGAAGTCTTTAGTATAGAAAAGGAATCCCAATGCTTTTTTAATAAACTTTTCAGATTTCAGTAGTGGAACTGGAAACTAGCTTAAACATCTTCAATCCCACATTTACTCCCTAATATAAATATTAGCCCAAAAAGTGTAGCCTAAGAGCTCTGACACAGACACCATCTTAAGATAGTTTCTCTCGTTAAGAGGACTTCTAGACATATTTCTGTTAAAGTTTCTGGTTCTTGCAGTTGTAGGTCACATAGAAGGTCCCACCATCACACGTAACATATTTTTCTTTTAACACCACGTACTGTTGAAGCAGCGCTTGGTGCTGAGAATGGTTTACTTCCAAGAGGGCAAGTCTTGTGTGCTAATTTTGTAACAGGAAACATGCTGGAGAGAGAACCAGCAGGCATGGAGAGACCAGATATGCTGCTACCCAGGAGATAGTGAGGTAAACTGTTCATGTTTAGAGTGGGTGTAGCTTGTTCCATAGAGTGTTCATGAGGCAAAGGATCAAAACTCTTTCTCAAGCTCTTGTACAACAGGTAAGGTGCAATAAAGTAACAGTGGCTTGTTTGTTTCTTAAAAAAAAAAAAAAACAACCCTTCTTCCAAAGCATAAGGTACTGGCAATTCCCTAACAGATGGGACTCAAGGTTCAGCCTAATGAGCCAGACCTCTTTTCCTAAATCTCCCTTACTTCTCAGTTAAGTGAGACATGCTGCTTTATCAGCAGTTCAGGAGGGAAGTCCCTCTCAGGAAAACAAAGGGAGGAGCGGTGGTAGAAATACAGCCTAAAAGCCACAGCAAATTATTTTGTCCATATGCATAAAGCAAGAGATCCCCCTTCTGTTCTCTCTCCTTGGTGTCTGGAAGTTATCCAGGATTAGAACCTACCATGATGTTTGAGCAGTATTTTAATCAACACTGCACTGACTCTGGTCTGCGTAACACTCGTGCATTAACCTTGAGACACCTCAGTTTTTACAGGAGATTGATTATTTTTCTTTCTTTCTGTCCTAAAGGTTCCCTTATTCCTCTTCAACAGGAACAGGGATCTATACAACAGGTACTTCCTAGTGCCTCTGAATGGGAAACAATTTCATGATGCTGCCCAGCAACATCTACTTACACCTTAAAATTATGTTTTACAATTTGAATGGGAGGGGTGGGTGGGGTGGAGAGGGAGAAAAAAGCAGGAGTTTAGAAAGAAAAAAAAAAAAAAAAAAACAACCAAGGAGAGTCTCCTAGGCTCTTTCTCCACTTAAAATGGAGATTAGAACAGATAGCAAAACCCCTGTCCAATCAGAAGCAATCCACATCAATTCCTCCAGACAGGTGAATCTGTTCCATTGTACCACATCAGAAGATGCTCTATCAGTGTTAAAAACATAGTTGTAAATATGGACATTAAGATTTTGGGCAACGCAATGATCAGGAAAGGGCCTGAACAAGTAGTGCCAACAGAAACAGGGTTTGAGTTGGTTTGTTTTTTTGTGTAGATGCAAAATGGCAAAGCCTCCACAAACTTTATTTCTGGGCGTCTCTACAGAAGGCAGAGAAGTCTAAGAGCCTAAAACAAGGAGCCCTAACAAGGAAAAGGGGTGTGCTTACAAGGGTCCGTATCTGGTCTCGTATTTAGAAACAATGTTCTTGCATCGTCCCACTTCTTTGCGCAGCTCTGCAACCTCCGTCCTCAGGGCCGTGTTCTCTTTCTCAAGAAAGGCTGCCCGAATTGTGATCTGATTCTCCTTTAATCGCCGAGCATCACGGGAACGCTTTGCTGCCACATTGTTCTTCTTTCGCCTTGTCCAGTATTTTTCGTCCTAAGCAAAAAAAGAAAAAAGGGGGAAAAAAAAAAAGAAAAAAGAAGAGCTGCCAACCTGACAACTACATCAAATAGACACCTCTTCATTCTATGACGACATTCATACTGACTGCTATATTGAAGAATCTCCTTCACTGGTTTGCAGAGCTCAGACACTAAAATGAAAGCAACACAGTACCATAAGATTTCAGCCTTACTTGAGTGTTGTTTCAGGATAAACCAAGTTAGAACTAGGGAGATCAAAAGACTTGGCTACTAAGAAGGTGTCCAACCGAAATGCTCCCTTTACTTGGTTTCAGTTAGTGAATGAACTTCCACAGAAAGCAACCTGTTCTGTTGTCTGGGCTGCTTAAAGCCAGATCAGACATAGTGCAGGGCAAACGCATACAGTGGCCTTCAAAACTGCAGTTGATGAGGATGTGACTTGATAATTCTTCTAATTTCTGTGTATAGCATGAGAAGTTGCTCCTGCCCAGTAATTATCTCATGATACCAAACCAGCAAGAACAGCAGTTGACTTGCCTATTCTATTTTTGGCACTGCTTCTGCCCAATCACACAGGTATAGTTTTATGCGTCAAAATGTTCGGGCAAAGAGTCAGGAACTTTGATCAAGGCCTAGAAGTTTGCAGCAATAAATCTGTTACCTTTTGCTCATCTGGGACAAAAACCTTCTTGGCTTTTTTAATCATTGGTTGTGGTTTCAGGTCCTCTTCAGTAAACTTGTGCTTGCGAGGATTGAAGAGCTCACCACCAGGCACACTGGACAGCACTAAATCAGCAGGGTCGGGGTTAAAATTCACCTCAACTTCTACGCAGTCAGGATCAATGGGGCTGGGAGTATTTCTCTCATTTTGTGGTGGGGACTCTGGCAACAACAGGAGAAGTTACACTACATTCAGCAGGATGAAGAGAATTAACCAAGAAGCCAACTTGGGTATTTCTATTTACTGCCCTACTGTGGACAGTATTTAATAGTATTATTTGGTATTTCCCTAAAGTGTGCTTGGTGCTGTACAGCTGCTGGTACAGAGAGAAACTACACAGTCCAGTTTGTAACACAAACTCTAGGAACACATACCAGACTAACAGACATGAGTAGACAGATGCAGGACAAGAGTTAATACTTCCTTGGCAGAAACTTCATGCTTTGCACACTTAAGCAGTGCCTTCCGCAGCAATAAGTAGTGAGAAACTTGTATCAGCCTGAGTTTTGTGCCATATAAAGCCTTATGGAAACAAACCTGCCCAAAGACCCAGGTCCCTGGGTCCTTCAAAGAACAGACGTTTGTATTTCCAAACAAAGGACTAAATAAAGGTGGATTTGTTACAAATGCAACAGTATTCTACTACTTTGGCACATGGAAACAAATGTCCCAATAGATTATCTGACACCATTCGTGTTCATATAAACTCTGTCATATTAACCTATTGTTTACATACTTAATACATATGAATTGTAAATGTCAGTGCAATTTTTAGTAGTGACCAATGACTAGTTTTTTTCATATACTACCTAGAAAAAAGACACACCCTATGTCTCATTGAAGTTGTTCCATATTTTGCTTTTCTCTCACAGATTCACAGAAGAGGCCCTGAGCAAAATGCTTTCTGTGAAGTCTGATCATAAATAGTACCATGAAAATTTGGTGGCTATCATGTTTAAACTCCAAATCTAGGGCGAACTGACCTAAATTCTTTAATAGAGAAGAACTCCATATTACAAAGAGTAGAAGTTTTCTAGTACCATTTAAGTAGAATTTTGTTTCTTTGTTCCTCCATTCTCACTTCAAAGCACCACAGAACATCAAACTGCATCATTAACACACCTTTTCCAAGTGTCTGTTCTCACATTTCACAGGCGAGCAAGAAAAGATTGCTTCATTGTTTTTCTATTAAGCATTGTTATTTGAGGTACATTAAGTTAGCATAAATTCACCCAAGCAGACTAAGCCACCAAGGTAGCACAAATGACTTGTCACAAACTATCAAATCTGTTGTAAAATAACCTGAGAAACTATTTTCTCAACATGTCCAGCTTCTCACTCGATAAGCAATATCAAGAAAGCAAATACTTTATGTTGGTGTTTCAGCTCTCCTCATTTCAAAAGAGAAGCAGACTGCACACTGAGACACACTCATTCATTTTTTCCAGGAGGGGGAGAGGGAAGAAAAGAAGGGAAGAAAAGAATCTTCATGACACAAGGACTAAGGCCCTACGCTGAGCATGTTTGTGCTACTTAACCTGCCACAGCTAATGCTGACAGGTTAGCGTGTCTCCTCTTTGATCTAAACAGGCACCTTTTAATACCAGAACAACAAAAGCCTCTCAGAGTCCCGTATTATTCCATCTACCTGTGCTGGAAGCTGCTTCAGATTGCTGGTAAACTGCAGTGGAAGAGGATGATGCAGGAGAACCAGTGGAAGCACTGGCAGACTCCTTGCCTTCCAGCTCAGCCACAGGCAAGAGCGGATTCTGGTTCAAATCCAGGTGAGTAGGGCTGGAAGGAATTCCATTCTCCAGCAGGAACTCATCCAGATCCATGTACTCCAGGTGGAAAGACTCGCCATCATAAGGAATAGTTTTGTCCCAAATGGGCGGCATAAGGGAAGCCGAGACTGCCATAGTGCTGGCAGCTGCTGCCTCATCTTCCTCAAGCTTTATCTTCTCCTTCTCTTTATCTGAAAGATACAAGTAGGTCACTGTACAAGCTGCAACAAATGAAAGACTCAAGGTTTAAGAGTCTAACAAAATCCCCATGAAAGGAAATTCAGTAAGCTGTATTTCTGCCTCATGACATGATCTGAAAAATCAGATGTTGAAAGGCAACATTGATTCATTCAGTATGGAATGCTCTGACCCCCTGTGATGGCCAGACCACAGACATTTAAGTAGCCTTGAAGACCAGCATCTTTGCTGTGATAACTTACCAAAGCGTGATACAATACCGCATGTAGCTTATTGTTAAATAGTCACTGCAAAATAGCCTGGCTCATCTTGGAAGACAGCAAAAGTGAGTGTCCATAAGGAGGATTACATGGGAAGCCATTAAGAAAACTCCAAGGAAGCAGAGTAGTTTATTCTATGCACAAAGAAAGAAGGTGCAGAAGAGTAATCTAGATACAAACAAGAAAGGAATATAGATTTTCAGATTACATTTGAAAATTAGTCAAAAAGGTCCACAGGACACCAGAGACCTGGACGTCTATTGTTCAGTATTTTAGAAGCAGTTATTTCTGAAATGACTCAGCATGTCCACACAGAGCAATAGCTCCAAATGCTGCTCACTATAGATAGCTCAGAGTACCTACACACAATTTGCACTCTTTGGGGAGATGTCTAATAAGGCATACTCCCACACCCCACCCCCAAGCCACAAAAGACTGATGAAATTTTCTCCATCTACTATGCTACAGTGCACATATTACAGAAAAATGGCTGTTTCTATGTTCCCCATAGCTACTGAATCTTAACAATTGTCTGGGACAGAATCCAAGCAGAAAAGTCAAGTTATGGAATAATTACATAATTTAAGAGATAAAAATAAGCTGGCAGATGAGAAAAAAAAAAGAATCCAAATCATTTTCCTGATCCAGTTCTCCATGTAGACATGCAGTTCTACCAGCACTGAAGGAGGCATTGCAGAAGCAGTGCCAGTACTGCCAGCATTGAGCCAGCACTGCTGTCAAAAGGAACAGTCACCAGTTGTATCCTAACCAACTGCAAATTGGGTCTTTCCAAGGAAGCTGACAAATATTCAGTTCAATGGAACAAGGACTCCAGGGACACAGGGACCAGTATTGACACAGGTTAGCCCAATAAAATGCACAAATGTTTGGTATTAAGGTTTTCTAGACTGGCTACAATATGCTAAAGGAGTATTTTTCTTTATCGGGGGTGGGAGTGGGGGTGAAACTCTGCTCTAAATCAGAAAAGCCTATTTATATAAAACCTATTCTGATAGAACTGGCATTCCTTCCGCTCTTGCCTTAGCTGGTGAGGAACTGGGACTGAAAGAGCTTTTTATGGCTTAAAGAACAGTGCTGCCACATGAAATAAATTATCATTTTAATCTACCGTGTTCTGAACATCTTATACAAAAGGAGATATCTATTTTAAACTAAACAGCTAAGAAAATACTTACCAGCCATAGGCTTGGCTCTAAGAATAAGTAAATAACACATGAAATTCAGACCAGTGGTTCCTGGACCTGAGCTTTGTTAACAATCTTGTAGTTTTGGCCTTCCCCCTTGCTACTTGACACTGCTGCTTCTGAATTGCCATCTCCCAACTCCTATCCCTGCTATCAACTACTTTTTGCAGGGAGTTTTGCAACTTTCCTACCCTTCACACGGGCAAAGCAAACGTGCAGGTTAACAGTCATGATCCAAATTAACTGCATTTTTCTAAACAGCTCCTGAAGCTAGTAAAGAAACACTGTCTACTCTGCTTCACATATAAGGATGATTTCACTGACTACTGAAGCACAGCCCACTAAATTGGAACCACCATTTTGCATTCAATTTGTGAATCTGGGATTGTGTATTTCCGTAAGGTTTGCATAGTGCCCAGCACAGGTGAACCCAGATTCACATCGGGGATTGTGGACAACATCCTAGTAAAGACATTGCCAAAACAAATGCAAACGACAATAATGAATTCTTTGTAAATCACTTTATTTTTTAATCAACATGACAAGAAAAATGTGAATGTTGAGTCAAAATGGCAGAGAAAAAAAAAAAAGAAAAAATATATCAGTCTTTACTCTTGAAAACAATAGTATTCCATTATAAGTTATACCAGTTTTAATGCAAGCCAGCAGTGCTTTTGTTTTGCAACACTTAATACAACACCTCCAACAGAGGAGAAATCTCAAGTGACCAGTAAAGTGACTAAACATAAGGCTTAAAAATATTTTTTTCAGAAGGTAGATGCCAAAAAGGACTACACTGCTGGTGTATGTGGCTCTTCTCATATCTTTTAATGCCTTTTAGATGTATACCATCATCCTGCTATAACCTGAAAATACTGTGGTCCCTCCAACTTCCTCTTGCTATGGTCCCTGACTCACACCAGACTAGAAGACCATCTGAAATTTTTTGTCCTTTTGCTACATGTTGACAACGGGACAGGGACTGGGCCCCCAGTGCTGTCTTTGTTCAGCTATGCTGCCCCTCTCTCTCCCTCCTTGCCTCTAACAGCAATATCTGAAACAAATTAAAATAGCAGAAGTTAACATGCACATTGGGTGCCCATGTATTTCAAATGTGATACATGAAAAGATAAAACCTTTGTATGATCATTTTTCCATTGACATTTTCCCCACTGGCTTTCTTTCAATTAATTTAATCTTCATTTCTGCTGCACAACATCCTGCTGGGTGCACAATATCTAATGAAACACTAATTAACTTCTTGCATCTTGAGGGAGAAGTTTCCGCCCGCCCCATCACAGGGAGCTGAAACATTAATTCTCTTAAGATATTTATCGTGTAAACAGGTATTACCTGACAGCAGAGCTGCAGTATCCTAAGAGGCTCCATTTGCAGTGATTCAAGGTCACCCTGATAAATCTGGACTGTACTTCTGCAGCTGATAGCTCATGTCCGATTTAGCCCCCTCATTCTGCTACTGTGACCTACTAACTAGGCTGTACATGTGCTGTCAACAGAGGGGTCACTAGTTTATGGTAAGCAATTTAGGCAGAGCATACCAGTTCTTGAACTAATGGAAATACTGCTGTTTTAGCCAAAAGCAGCAGCCTAGAAAGAGCCTTATTCCACATCCCGTTTTTTTTCTCAAAAAAAAAACCACTCCCAAAAACCTACTACCCACAAAACAAAAGCACACCAAAAATATTTTGGCCACAACTATCAAGTGCTATCCCAGCTACAAACAGAACAAACACTTCCTTGACAAAGTTCCTCTTGTTCATAAAAAAAAAAATATTGTCAAATTATACCAAAACCACTACACAGACTAAGGATCGCTCCATAAATCTTTAGTCCTACTTGTGACAACGGAACAAGACAGGTTATAGGGCTCTGTATTCCTGATGCCCATTACTGTGATGTTCGTTGAAGCATTCCTCCTGCCACAGCAGAACACAACTGGCGATTAAGGCATCCTTTGGAGAGTACGTAGCAGCTCATTAATAGGAGAGACCTACACTCCTGCTCCAGAATATTAATTCTCTTCCCTTGCGCCAGAGAACCTTTTATAAAAAAGACTATTATTTTTATTTATTTAATCCCTACAGTGTACATGACGACAACTTACAGCAGGGGCGGTCAGATATACTTGGTATATGGCAGGGCATTCAAGATGATGGCATTCAGTTGGAACTGGATGTCCTCCTCTGTTGCTTAGGAGGATTAGAAAGCCTGCTGGCTTAGTGGGTAGTCAAATTACCTACAGCAGTTGGAAAACCCACAGGTAGCTTGTGGAGACTATAAATGGACACTGCAGCTAGTTGATACCATTTCTCGAGGAATAAGACATAAAATTGCACTTTTGTCAACAGGCATTCCAAACAAAAGGCATAGGGTCTTTCCTCAAAAAGCTTGCTGAAAGCACACCCTTGTTTTAAGTAAATTAGTAATTATTCAACATTTTGGCTGTGTCACTATACTGCAAAGGAACAGAAAGTAAACAAGGATCTTCTGAAGTGTGTCACAATTCTACTGACAAGTCTTTTGTAAAATTACCTGCTAACACAGAAGGAGTTCTTTCGTCTTGCAAATATGCAAACAAGAAAAGCAACAGAGACCAAAATAAACAGAAAGCAACAAGTTCCACAAAGAGTGAAGTGGAACAGTACAAGGTGGACTAAGGAAATCTATGAAGAAATTTTAAGAATGAGAACAATCTGAACTTCATCACATGGAGAGGGGTAATCAAGATGCAATGGACTCATTAGAAAGCTTTAGACAGTCAAGCTCTGTAAACACTTTCCCAAGATGAAACAGGGTCATCTATAGTAAAAGGAAAGGTATCAAATGTTTCTAATTTCAGAAAGATGCACCACATCAAAAACGCCTTATTTTTCTTTTACAATTTTGCGTCTCCATAGGCCAGATCACATGATTCTGGACAAGAAAACCACCCCTAAGACTAAGTCAGCGACCATCATAGTTTCCACATGTGACCTTAAATTGCTCCTGCTGACACTATGTCCTTTAAAAAAGGACTGGGTAAAGAAATATCTTAAGAAAACTCAATGTTGTAGATTCAAGATTCTGTGTACTGCAGCATCCTGCACCATGGCAACAAACCTTTATCAGAGGTTGACTTTTTTTTTTTGTTTTTAACAGAAAGGAGAAAAAAAAAATATTTGCCAGAACCACAGGATGGATATATTTACACAGTACTGTGCAATATTAGACATGCAAAGTACGTGGATCTTAACTAGGATCCTCCCTGGGAACAATCTTGCCAACCTTGCTTGCACTGCAGTCTATCCTGAACACCATCTGATGTTCCAAAAATTATTCTCAACCTCAAAAATCCTCAACGTAAGGGTTTATTTTATTATATACCAGTACGCTAGGCATTACGGTGGTGCAGATAAACCTGAGCCTTCCTCCAAAAATCAAACTGATGCTCAGAAAGGCAAAAATACTGCCAGGTGGAAAAAAAAAAAAAAGTTTTAAAAAAGAAAAGCGTGCCATCAGCAAGGAAGA